TTGAGGCCTGCTTGGCTCGACTCCCAGGCCAATTATCCGGCCGGAGTTCAAAGAGACTTTGCCGCGGCAACAAAAAGCCTCGCTTCTGCCCACATACCTCTCAGCCGTCCGTCACAGTCTTACTCTCCTGTAAGTGCCGTGAATCTGGGCCCATAACCTGTTGTTGGGATACTGCCAGGGAGAGAAAGTCCATCATGACTCTGTTGGTTTGCAAGCCCCCTCCATAGAGGCTGGCCCCTCTCACTGTCCTCGGAGCTTGCATACCGGTAACCTCCTCTGGCTGATATCCAGACAGACCAGGGAGATTTTGATAGGCGACATTTTCCCAAGCGTGGGTAAAATGCACAACCCCTCCCTCCTGCTTCCGCAGGGGAAAGAAAATAAGTCAGAAATCTATTTACATGATGTTTATTTCTGACATTACAGCACTAGAGAAAAACACGTCCTTTCAGTCCAGTTCTTCCAGCAAGTCAGACAAACTTCCTGAACATGCGCACACAGAAGGTTTCAAGTTACACTCTTCTCAAAGACTTATCCAGCCTGTGAACGTCCTGGGAAATTCTTCTTTCCCACAGATAGGCACATCATGTGATGTCAACAATCTGGCTGTCTGCAGCGGTGATGTTTCCATATACTGACATCCTCCCCCCATATGAATCATCGTTAGCTGCGGACAAAGCTTGATCCAGAGAAGAAAACAAACAGTTGTTATACATATAACAATCCCCTGTTGTTTCAGTTCCACCCTTGGAACTACCCGCCACTGGTTTCACCAATGTAACTCTCTGGTTGTCTGTTTTCCAAGGAATGAGTGCATCTGCATTACCTTGGTTAGGGAACGTAGTGTTATGCTTAGCAACTCCCTGTTGTGTCTTTGTCTCTGACTTAGACATACCCTTAACCTGGCTTGAGTTGTCAACAATAGTAATACATGCAACAGCTGAACTAGCAAACTCTTGAGAATACCTCTTGGGTGGTACGCCCTTTGTGATTCTCTCAGACCTGCGTATGAGGTGCTGATCATCCTTGCTGACTGGTTCAGTCTCTGGACTTTTTGGAGAACCAGTTCCAATAGTAAACAGTGGTTCATCCTTAACCTGCGAAGATCTAGCTTTTGTGTGTGAACTTTTCTCAATAACTGTGTCAACAGAACTCTCTGAGCTTTCTGTGTCACTTTCAGTATCACTATAATCAGAATAATCAAATTCATCATCTGAATCATCAGCAGTGGGAAATGTGTGAAAAATTACTCTCTCCTGTCCAGGAGCACTTTCTAGAAATTTTGTGAGAATCACCTGACCAGATTCAGACAAAATTACTCTGTAGAGACCCTTTTCATAACCCACAAAAATGCCTCTGGCATTCTTCACCCCATCTGGAGTTTCCAGTCCTGATTTGAGATCCAAAAACCTTAAAATGCGAGACAGAAGGTTTTCTGTGGAACAGCTTCTCAAAGGAGAACATTCCATACCTTTTGAAACCTTTCTCACCCAAGTGTAACAAAAACATGATAAAGATTCAGCCCAAAACTCATGTGGCAAGTGTGAACTCAGAAATTGTGCCTTCTTGCCATTCTGCAACTCTCTGTTCACTTTTACACACACAGTTTTGTTCCAGGCAGCCTCTGAAACAGCAACCTTGTGCTCTATCCCTTGCTTCTCAAGGAAATCCTGAAAATCCTGTGAAAGAAAAATTGGCTTCTCATCTGTGAAAAGAAAATCAATTTTAGCATCATGAACATTCTTAACCTTATCACAAAACTCCTTAAACCTTTCTAAGGTTTCTCTGGGATTCTGCAACATGTAAATCCATACATATTGAGAAAAATGATCAACAAATACAAGATAGTATTTTGCATTGCCTCTAGATGGTGCTAAAGGACCAATTACATCAGCATACACTCGCTGAAAAACACTGTTAATCTTTGTTGCCTTTCCTCTCGTGTCTTCTTTCGAGATACCTGCAAGAGAAAGCATTTTAGATTCACATGCTGTGCACATTTTATAGTCCGATTCCTCAAATGTCAACAGATACAGTCCATCTTTCTCTCTGGCAGAAAGATACAGCTCTCCATCTTTGTAGATTTTGCAACTTTGCTCATCATAGGATAACACCAGTTTCTTCTTAGTGATTTGAGAAACACTCAGCAGATTGTACTTCAAATCAGGAACAAAATAAACATTGTTTATAGTCAAGTTCAGGCTTTCTAGATACACAGTTCCGATCCCGGTTGCTTCCATTTCCTGACCATTGGCCAGTTTCACAGTGAAGCGTTGCTTCTCAAACGTAGAAAACAGTTCCCGGCGTGATGCCATGTGTTGCGTCGCTCCTGTGTCTACAATAAATGAGTTATCCATGGATGATGTGGCCTTTAGTGACATCAAAGCCATATCTGGTTTTGCCTGGGACTGGGTACGACCTTTGCTTGATGCCTCAGGCTTTACAGAGCTCCCTCTAGCTCCTTTCTCCTGACGTGGTGTCTCCTGACGAACAGCGTTCTGAGTTACAGCTTTCTCCTCTGTAGCAATAGTAGTGGGGGTGCTTGATTTCCGAGCTTCACTCCCCCCATCAGCAACAGCCATTGCAGCAATGCTAGGATCATCATCAGCAACTGCAGCAACAGTTCCTTCACTTCCTTGTTGTGGCTCAAAGCTCCTCCCAGCTTTCGATGAGCTCTCAAGAATTTGGCTAGCTTTATCTTGGCTCTCCCCCTTTGGTGCAACCAATTCTCGGTCCTTGCTTCCCACCCCAGTTTCACAAGCTTTGCGGAGTGACTCCCAAGCGACCCTTGGTTCTTGTGCACCCTTTAGGACTGGCGCAAGATGAGCGTCTACATTTTCCGCCAAAATTCTCAGGACACGCTGCTTCAGTTCTCTTTGAATTGCAGCCTTCTCCCCCTGTGCTTGTACAGCAACAGGCTGTGGGGTGTGGATTAAGTCCCATAATTGCTCTCCCACCAGCAAAAATTCCATTTCAAATGACCATTCTAGCCAGTTTTGGCTATTCAGTTTCTGAGAGAACAGAGCCATCTTTAATCCCAAGCTGCAGCTTCAGCTACAAACTGGAAAATCCAAGAGTCTATTGGGCTGTTTACAAGCTGCTTGCACTTGGCAGTCAGCCCAGCTGCCTGGAATTTTCCCTTCCGAGAATCTGTAAACAATAAGCCTTCGCTGCAATCCAACAGCATCAGCAGTTGCTTGGAAAGTCCCTTTTCCAACAGTTTGTTTACAACAAGCGTCGCTGAAAAACACCCAGCTTTGCTTTCGTTTCTGAAGCTTCTTTTCTCTCTTTGCTTTAAGCTAACCAGCTCATAAATTTAGCCCAAAAAGTACTCATGACCTGTCGCTTAGCAACGGAACTTCTTATCAGCTATGGAATGCGAAGTATGCGGCTGCTCTCCGCTCTGTTTTATCCAAAACAGGAGCCTTTTTCTCAGGGAACCGAAGACTCTTCAATTCGCGTTCACCATCCAGCCATAAATCAGCATCGCAGAGGTCCGTGGATCGCTGCTTATCAGCAAAAAAAGTCTCCCACCTGGTGCTCAGCCGTCTTGTTGTTGCAACCATCGGGCTCTGCTACCACTTGTTGGTTTGCAAGCCCCCTCCAGAGAGGCTGGCCCCTCTCACAGTCCTCGGAGCTTGCTTACCGGTAACCTCCTCTGGCTGATATCCAGACAGACCAGGGAGATTTTGATAGGCAACATTTTCCCAAGTGTGGGTAAAATGCACAACCCCCTCCTCCTGCTTCTGCAGGGGAAAGAAAATAAGTCAGAAATCTATTTACATGATGTTTATTTCTGACATTACTGCACTAGAGAAAAACACGTCCTTTCAGTCCAGTTCTTCTAGCACGTCTGACAAACTTCCTGAACATGCGCACACAGAAGGTTTCAAGTTACACTCTTCACAAAGACTTATCCAGCCTGTGAACGTCCTGGGAAATTCTTCTTTCCCACAGATAGGCACATCATGTGATGTCAACAGTCTGGCTGTCTGCAGCGGTGATGTTTCCATATACTGACAGACTCCACGTCGCCTCCGGACGATCCATCGATCTCCCATAGATACAGTATCAGCAATTAGCAACACGAGCTCCAGAAATAGCTTGCCACATTCCAGAGCTGATGCACGCTCTATCAGCAGATAATGCACAGCGAAAGATGCACTCAGGAGAGCATTATTTACAGTGGTGCCTCGCAAGACGAAAAGAATCCGTTCCGCGAGTCTCTTCGTCTTGCGGGTTTTTTCGTCTTGCGAAGCAAGCCCATTAGAGGTTTAGCGGCTTAGCGCTACAGTGTTAGCGGCTTAGCCGGCTTAAAGATCAGCTGATAAGCGGCTTAACGATCAGCTGATAAGCGGCTTAGCATCAGCTGTTAAGCGGCTTAAAGATCAGCTGATAAGCGGCTTAGCATCAGCTGTTAAGCGGCTTAAAGATCAGCTGATAAGCGGCTTAGCATCAGCTGTTAAGCGGCTTAAAGATCAGCTGATAAGTGGCTTAGCATCAGCTGTTAAGCGGCTTAAAGATCAGCTGATAAGCGGCTTAGCCATCAGCTGATAAGCGGTTTAGCGGCTTGGGAAAAAGGGGGGGGGAAGGAAAAAACCCTGCAGGAACTCGCAAGACATTTTCGTCTTGCGAAGCAAGCACATAGGAAATTCGTTTTGCGAAGCACCTCCAAAACGGAAAACCCTTTCGTCTAGCGGGTTTTCCGTCTTGCGAGGCATTCGTCTTGCGGGGCACCACTGTAGAATTTTATTCAGCGTTGGTCAGAACAAAGAAAACATGACTGCCTGCTTCAGTGTCTCAGGCACAGAGAGAAAAACGAAAGCATAGACACAACAGAAACATCCTGTGAACAGGAAATACACAGGCTGTGACACAAACATCCTGCTCCCTTTTAAGGTGAAACGGAAATATCCTAACATGCGAAGCTCAGCAAGTGCGAGTTCCATCAGCGGTCAGTGGACTTCCTGGGTCACCAACTCTCTCCAGATGGGGTGCAGATGGATTCTGGGAAGGTGGCAGCAGTTCGGGAGTGGTCGGCACCTCGGAACCGCAAGGACTTACAGCGATTCCTGGGGTTCGCCAACTATTACCGGACCTTCATTGCAGATTATGCTCATCGTACCACCCCGTTGACCCGGCTACTGCGCCCCAAGACGCCATTTTCCTAGGACAAGGAGGCGGAGGAGGCGTTTCAGGGGTTGAAAGCCTGTTTCCAGAGAGCGCCGATCTTGCAACATCCTGATCCCTCTCGACCTTTTGTGGTAGAGACTGACGCCTCCAGAACGGCTCTCGGTGCCGTCTTGTCCCAGCAGCACGGACCTGATGCGCCGCTGTTACCCTGCGCCTTCTATTCCCGCCAGCTCCTTCCGGCGGAGCGTAACTATACCGTGTGGGAGCGGGAACTACTGGCCATCAAAGTGGCCTTTGAGGTCTGGTGCCACCATCTTGAGGGGGCACGACACCCGGTGGAGGTGAGAACCGACCACCGAAACCTGGAGTACCTCCAGACCACCCGCAAGCTGAACCAAAGGCAGATCCGATGGGCGTTGTTCTTTTCCCGGTTCCAGTTCCGGATCCGCTACATCCCTAGCTCCCAAAACCAGAAGGCGGATGCCCTGTCCCGGAAACCTGAAGACAACGCAGACACGGTACAGCAAGCAGTACCCACCACGATCCTACCACCGGCTGCATTCTTGGCCACCCAGGAGGCTGAGCCACTGCAGGCTCGGGTGCGGGAACAGCAGCGGGTCGACGCTTGGGCCCAGGAACGACTTCAGGAACTGGCCAAAGGGTCATGCCCCCAGTATCCGGGGCTGGTGTTGCATCAGGGCCTTCTGCTGCACCACGGTCTCCTGTACATCCCGCCAGGGCCACTGCGGGCTGAGGTTCTCCGGATGACCCATGATGCCCCAGCAGCAGGACACTTTGGGCGGTATCGGACCACCCATCTGATAAGCCGCGAGTTTTGGTGGCCCCGCCTGAAGGCTGACGTGGCCTGCTACGTCGCTGGTTGTGACGTCTGCCGGCGGGCCAAGGGCCCTACCGGGCGACCCCCTGGCCTACTTCAGCCGTTGCCAGTCCCACCACGTCCTTGGCACACGGTTTCGCTGGACTTTGTGGTGGACTTACCCCTGTCTCGTGGCTGTACCTGCCTCCTAGTTTTCTCCAACCATTTCACTAAGATGGTGCACTGTGCCCCCTGCCCATCCGTACCCACAGCTAAGGAAACCGCTCAGCTGTACCTTCAGCATGTCTTCCGCCTGCATGGCCTACCTGAGCGTGTGGTGTCCGACCGGGGCGTTCAGTTCACATCCCGGTTCTGGCGAGCATTGCACCAGACCCTCGGGACAGAGGTCTGTCTATCATCAGCCTACCACCCACAGACCGATGGCCAGACGGAACGGGCGAACGCGGTGCTGGAGCAGTACCTCCGGTGTTACTGCAGCTACCAGCAGGATGACTGGGTCGACCACCTAGCATTGGCGGAGTTCGCCTACAACAACACGGTGAACGCGTCCACCCAGCAGACCCCGTTCCAGGCCAGTTACGGTTATCATCCACGGCTGTTCCTGGATGTGCTGCCGGCATCCGCGGTCCCTGCGGTGATGGAGTGGCTTCAGGAGCTCCAGTCCCAGCAACAGCTATTGATGGAGCAACTGCGCCAGGCCAAGGAGGCGTACAAGGCCCAGGCCGACCGCCACCGCCAGGTGGGGCCGGAACTCCACGTCGGTGACCTGGTATGGCTCTCCACTCGCCACCTCCACCCCTCTCGACCTTCGCTGAAGCTGGACGCCCGTTTCACTGGCCCGTTTCCCATTGTGGACCAGGTCTCTCCTGTGGCATTCCGTCTCCGGTTGCCCACAACCCTGAAGGTTCACCCGGTATTCCACAGGTCCCTTCTGAGTCCGGTGGCCCCGCCCGACGAGTTCCACCCGAACCGTCCCTGACCGCAGCCAGTTTTGGTTCAGGGGGAGCCTGAGTACGAGGTGGAACACATTGTGGACTCCCGATACCGCAGGGGAAAGCTGCAGTATCTCATAGACTGGAAGGGGTATGGACCTGAGGACCGTTCCTGGGAACCAGCAGCCAACGTCCACGCGCCTGCCTGCCTCCGAGATTTCCATGCGGCGTACCCCAGGAAGCCGGGTCCAGACCCTCGGTTGAGGGGGGGCTGGGAGGGGGGATGGTGTGATGGCCTGGGAATCCGATTCAGAGGCTGAACCGGAAGAATCCCAGCCTGCACAGGAGTCCCCGCCTCCAGGGCTGGCTGAGCTGGGGCAGGGCCTTGATCCTGAAGCGCCTGCACCTGTGCCGGATCCTCAGGAGCAGGCACCAGGTGAATCCACTCTGGTTCCGGAGGTGATTGAGGACACAGTGCCTACAGGTGCGCCTCTCCCAGCCCTGTCAGGGGAAGGTGAGTCCCCCTGGGTCCAGTAACCCTCCAGCCTCTCCTGCAGAGGCTCAGGGCAGAGAGGCGGAGGGAACTGGTTTTTCCCAGGAGGAGTGCTCGCCTTAAGGCCAGGAGAGGCAGGTCTCCTGGGGGCCGGGACCGCCCCTGGCCTCAGAGATGATAAAGGCCAGTCAGCCCGGTCCCAGGTTGCGGGAGCAACATCGTTGAAGAGCTGTTTCGGCCAGCACCCAGTCCTGTTCCCCCCGAGTTCCTGTCCTTGCCCGGCTCCTCGCTGTGGACCCCGCTTCGCCTGTGGAGGACTGTCTGCCGACCCTCGACTCAGGTCCTGGACCTCGCCCCACAGTAACCTCCCCCCTGGACCAGCACACAATCAGTTATGGGCACCGATAAATGTGCAAAGTTCTTGATAAACTTTCCGTAGAAGTTGCTGAAGCCCAGGAATCTCTACACATCCTTCTTCATCTTGGGGCTTTCCCAGTCTAATACAGCCTTCAGCTTCTCCTGATCCATGGCAAGTCCCCTATCCGACAGCCAGTACCCCAGGAATTCAACCTCATGAGCATGAAACTGGCCTTTCTCCAGTTTCACCCATAACTGATGCTCTTTGAGATTCTCCAACACTTGCCGGACATCCTTCACATGCTGCTCCTCATTCTCTGAAAAGACCAAGATGTCATACAAGAAGCAGACGCAGTTCCAGTACAGTAGGGAGCCCAGCACGTGATGCATGAAGGCCTGGAAATAGGGACTTCCGCTTTGTAGTCTGAAGGCATAACGAGATACTCAAATGCCCCTAACGGCGTAAACATGGTCGTCTTCTATTCGTCTCCTTCCCGCACCCTGATCTGGTTGTAAAAAGTTTGGTAAAAATTCTGTCCTGCCGTACTCTCGCCAGTACGTCGTTGATGCGAGGCATGGGGAACGCATGAGGTTCCATCAAGGAGTTGACAATCCTAAAGTCCACCACTAGGCGGTGCTCTTTTGTCCCCTTTTTGTCCACAAAGAACACTGGACTTCCCCCCACCTCCTTAGATTCTTGCATGAAACCTCTTCTCAAGTTCTTGTCAATAAACTCCTTCAAATCCTGTATCTCTTGCCCGCCGGCAGTCTGGCCCCGGGACTAAATTGATCTGACAATCGTACAGCCTGTGTGGGGGTAACTTGTCAGCCTCCCACTCACTGAAAACTTCCTCAAAATCCGCATACTGCTGAGGAATTCCCTTCTTTCCCCCCAGACTCGCCGTAGCGATCTTGGCTTTCCTCTCCCGTGGCTCCTCCCCCCCAGACAGTGTTCCACACAGTGTGTCAACCGAAGGTGAAGGATCGCTGGTGCCACGACACCACTGGATCATGGAGAGCCAGCCAACTCATTCCCAGAATGATGGGAATGCCAAGGTGCCAAGGTGGCACGCCCTGCCAAGGTGGCCACATGAAAAGCAATGGTCTCGGTGTGTTTGGAGACCCTCATTATCATGGGGGGTGTCTGGTGTGTCACTCCCCCCCCCCCAGCAACTCTCTCCCATCAATGGTGGTGACTTGCAAGGGAAAGTCTAGTGGGAGTAGGTGCAACTGGTGCTCCAAGGCAAAGTCTCTGCTGAAGAAATTCGCACTGGCTCCTGAATCAACCAAGGCCTGCAGTTCCATTGGGTGGCCATTAGGGAGCTCCAGCACTACCTTGACTACTATGCCCGCCTGGGAAGGGCACAGTCGGGGCCCTTCTACTAAGCGCCTGCCTGGTTGCTGCCCATGTTTACTGGCAGCCAGGCACTGTCATTTCCCTGCTGCTTGGGCTCTCCTCCTTCCTCCTTAGCCGCTGCCCTAATCATTCCTTACCAGCCTTTGCGCTGCGGGCAAGCCTTGGCAAAGTGTCTCAGCCATTGGCAGTGGAAGCACTTCTTGGCTGACTTACAACCCCTTCCCTCCTTTTTTCTTGGAACCTGACGTCTCAGGAATGCGGTTGCCATAGAAACGGTCCCCTCTGGCCTCTCGCCTTTCTTGTGCTCGCGCCTCCTGCCGAACACCAATAGCTAACACTGCTTTGGTCAGCTCATCCATCGATTTCAGCCGGGGTCCCCTGGAGAGCTCATCTTTCAAGTCTGAATTTAAGCCCGCCTTAAAAAGCGCTTGCATGGGTTCGGACAACAAATCCCAGCCCAGCTTATGCACCAGCATCGCGAAACGGGACCAGTAGCTACGAACAGTCAGGGATCCCTGTTTGAGTGTAAGAAGCTCCTGCTGCGTGACATCCCCCTGAATTTCGCTGGTAAACATTGCATCCATCGCCTCATAAAATTTCCCTAAGTCCTGGAGGGCATTGTTTCCCACCGCTATTAGGGGCCTCATCCATTCCCGAGTTGCGCCTTCAAAGTGGGAAACTACGAATGCCACCCTCTCCTCATCATTGGCAAATTCCCTCCTTTGCAAGTCCAAGGCGTATTTAATCTCAGTCTTAAAGGCAATGTATTTTTGAGGGTTCCCACCAAAATTGCTCACCAGTGATGGTACTTTTCTCCCCAACGGAATGGCTGTGATCTGCTGGTCCTGCACTCTCCGCTCCTCCAGCCTCGCTGAGAGCTGAGCCACGTGTGCTTCCAGCTCCGCGTTCTTCTGCCTCCAGCCTCGCTGAGAGCTGAGCCACGTGTGCTTCCAGCTCCGCGTTCTTCTGCCTCAGGGCCGCCACATTCCGAGCCGCCTCTTCCCCAGTGCCTCTGCCTGCAGCCCCTCTGCCCGCTGCTCTTTGCTCCTCCCGCTTCCCTG